TACCCATATATGGATTGGCCAGACAATGGGCGGGGCTAGGATTTCCCAAGATTTTCCAAGATGGCGCCGCCCCTACCCCCCATAAACGGCTTCAAAACCGTTCTTCAGAGAGTCTATGGGTGACGTCACAGACGCTTTGTCCATATTTTTTACAGTCTATGGGAAGCACGACCTGATCGTCATGTTCCTGAGAGGAGCGAGGAGACTGAATCCTCCTTGCCCTCCTCTCGTTCCCTCTTGGGACCTCTCAGTGGTTTTAACTGCCCTGCAGAGTGCCCCTTTTGAGCCTCTGCAATCAGTGAAGATTAAATTCCTGTCTATGAAGACAGCTCTGCTGGTAGCACTGGCCTCCATCAAGAGGGTAGGGGACCTGCACGCACTCTCCGTTGACGAAGCGTGCCTGGAATTCGGGCCGGCTTTCTCTCACGTGATCCTGAGACACCAGCCTGGATATGTGCCCAAGGTTACCACCACTCCCTTCCGGGACCAGGTGGTGAACCTGCAAGCGCTGCCCCTGGAGGAGGCAGACCCAGCCTTAGCACTGCTCTGTCCAGCACGCGCCCTCCACGCCTATGTAGACAGAACGCAGTGTTTCAGGACCTCAGACCAGCTCTTTGTCTGTTATGGTGGGAAGCTGAAGGGAAAGGCTCTCTCCAAGCAAAGGCTGTCTCACTGGATAGTGGACGCCATTGCTTTGGCATACCAGCAGCAAGGTTGACCGTGCCCCCTTGGTGTGACTGCCCACTCCACCCGGAGTGTGGCGTCCTCTTGGGCTCTAGCGCATGGCGCCTCGCTAACAGACATCTGCAGAGCTGCAGGCTGGGCGACACCCAACACATTCGCCAGATTCTACAATCTCCGAGTGGAGCCTGCATCCTCTCATGTACTGGCTTCAATCAGCTAGTACCGGACCCACTCAGGTGTCTTCGCTTGCTCGCCATTCCACTCCGCGGTCTGGATACTTGCGATATTTTCCTCAGGTGAGCTTCCTCCCAAGCCCTGAGTTCCTCCAGCACTGCTGACGTCGACGGCAGTGTCTATTACCAGTGCATTGGCTAGGTGCCTCCGTGTGCATGGTCCCCCCTCTGGGCGACCCCCACATGTGTATTTCCACTGTAAGCCTCTCTGAGTATGTGTCTTTCCCTCGGCAAGCCACCTTGCCATCCCTGGGGTTGAAATATTCCACCTGCGGCTGGACACCCCAGTGTTCTCCATATGCATCCCTCTGGGTCATATGTGTATTCTCTACTCAGGAAACGAGGGTTACATACGTAACCGAGACGTTCCGTTCAATAACTGTAAAATTCACCAATTGTGCATATGGACTGTATGTAGTGTATTTGTGCACAAGTGACCGACTCCTGTACACTCCACTGCACACTGAACAAGCAAGACACAAGAGTAGTTTTTTACATTTTTCACATCTGTGTAGTATGACACATTTCTGGCTAATCATTTGATGTATGCATGTAGTTATTATACAATAACACATTTATTTGAAGAGTTAAAGTAGTCTTAGATGAAGTGTTTGCTTTTGCAAAAAGTGTGGCATTTTGCATGCTGTGTGGTGTGGTGTCTTCCGGGAAATGGAGCTATAGTTTCAGAAAAAAATATATAGAAAAAAACACAAAAAAAACAACAACCTGTAAGCGTGTAGTTCCGCATTTTTTACACACATGCACCATGAATAATCAGAAATCATGAACAGCCAGGAAGCTCATTCACTTGACAAGCTTTTCCCATTACGCTCCATATATATATATATATAGTTACTCCTGGTTTGTTTCAGTGTCTGTAACCCAGAATCTTTGTGCACAGTTGTAAAATACTGAAAGGCTACTAGCCATGTAAATGAAAAGCAAGACAAGTCAACATTTTACAGCTACCTTTATCTATATAAAAATACAAAACTTAAAAAAAAAAAAAATTCCATAGGAAAGCAATATAAATGCAATCCCATCTCTTTCATATCCGCTTCAAATACATCAGTGCCATACAATTCAGATCAATAATACATATTTCAGGTCAATAATCGTAATGTTAAGTTACCAATCAAGTAAAAAAAAGAGAGAAATGATCACTGAGGAGGAAATCTTTGCTTGTCTTTATGGAGGGCGAGATCGAAAAGCAGCCATTTCATTAAATGTTCTCCCGACAAGCTCTTAACACTCCTCCATGGAAAGTAGCATGTGTAAGAGGGGGAATCAGTTCAGGAATAGACCTTCCTCCAACAAAGAATATCAGACACAATTAAACCTCCCTTGTATCCTCTACCCAAGTATCTGGCCTCAAATTACAAGTATTGGGCCATTCTACAGAATTGGTGCAAAGTCAGAGTTGGAAACATCTTGACATTTTTTTGTTTTTTCCCCACAAATTTTGCATGTATGCAATTTGTATAATATCCAAGGTACTCTTTTCTAGTAATTGTGCAGTTAATTCTCATATTGTTTTTTCAGAAAATGTTGGAATATTTTCCTTCTCCCCAAATTTGTCACTACCGAAACAATATTAAATATTTTTTTAAGAAGGCTTATAATGACCTATTAAGATTTTGTTTACATCTACCTTATAAATATAATTTTTTTTCTACTTTTAAAAAATATTTTTACAGGTTAAATCAATAAAGATTATAATTTTAATAATATTTTAAGTGTAATTTATGAGATTTGTTGTATTTTGAACCCAATTTTTCTTTGTAGAAGGCATAATGTTTATCGTACTGATTTCAAAGTTAAGGATTCATTAGTTTGAATATGCATTGAACCAAACACTATCATAACATCTTATTTGACAAAACAATATACTTTATTTTTGACAAAACATCCCATGTTACGGTAGTGACTGCAGATTTTTGGTAGTGACAGTAATGTTTTGGTAGTGACCACAATACTTAGTTTGCCATGGCTGAATCAGACTGTCCACATTTTATGTTAATATAAATAAATAACTATGATGCACATATGCAGTCAGTACATATAGCAGACACACATCTGACAGTAAATATCTTATAAGAACACCTAGAGCTATTCTATACTTTGGGTCTTGAGGTGGAAGTGAGAAGAGGTATGCTCATAGATTTTTCTTCCTAAAAAAACCAACAACTTACAATGTTGACTGTTTCAGAACCACTTTGTTTTATTTTCACATTTTCAACATTTTGTTTGTGAGTCATTCAGATAAATCTCCAGAACCACTGAACTGTGTGTGTGTGTGTGTGTGTGTGTGTTTACATAAAACATTAATTTCAGAATAATTTTCCTCATTCAGATAAATCTCCAGAACCACTGAACTGTGTGTGTGTGTGTGTGTGTGTGTGTGTGTGTGTGTGTGTGTGTGTGTGTGTGTGTGTCCCACATGGAAAGAACCTATATAAACATATATGTTTTAATATAGGTTTTGATATAGGATTTCAATATATGTGACATATATAAAATTGGCCGTTTTCCTATATTATATGTACATATATGCACATACATGCACATACATGTGTGCATATGTGTACATATATACGTCCGTATATGTACTTATATAGGTACATATATGTGTCCATATATGTACATATATGTGTGCATATATGCCAATATATAGGTGCATATATGTACATATATTGGTGCATATATGTACCTATATAGGTGCATATATACGTGCATATATGAACCTATATATGTGCATATATACATGCATATATGTACCTATATAGGTGCATATATGTACCTATATATGTACCTATATATGTGCACATATGCATCTATATAGGTACATATATGCACGTATATATCCAGCTATATGTTTACCTATATATTAGTATAATTATTAAAATCCATAGCTACTAGGCAACATAAATAATAGCCCAAAATGTAGAAATTTAAATTATTTATTTACTCAAGAACAATCAAATAGTACAAGAACAAAAATAAGACAAAAAACTGTACAGAAAAAAACCCCCAATTTATCTTGTTGATCTTCTCAGCTCCGTGAGCTTCGAATTGATAGATGTGCCTATCTGCCCTCGGCTGGCTGCCGGCCACTTCTTCAATGTAGCATCTAGAGAAGACAAAAATAATAAGACAGTATAATAATAATAACAATATAATGCTTCATCAGGAACCCAAAGTGCTTACAGTACAGCTGCGATTGGACACACATTTTGGATAAAGGGCTGATCATAATAAAAAATGCGTCATGTAAACACGTCAATTGGAAGATTCTGATTGGATTCTGCTAAATCTAAAAGAAATTCTGATTGGAAACATCGTCCCCCTTTTTTTTTTAGCAGCATCGTTCTTTCATATGCACATGTCCGTCATCGGGACTGCATTGTTAACAGTCACACGGTCAATCATGTGCATTCAAAGCAGTGAAAATTCATGGATAGAAAATTTTCAGAAATGTGGCTTTAGAAGAGGAAAGGTAGCATCAAGAAGTGAGCAAGCAATGAATTAGTATTATAGGTTCCAAGCAGATACAGTAACAATAATGGGTGCCCTACATTATACAGTCTCCATTGATGCCTAATAAACATTAATACAAGTAGGCTATGGTTAAAGTGGTGAACTTATAAAAAGTCTTAAAAGTTTTGTTTTCCCTTCTCAACGCATTATGCATTTACTCACCAATAATGGCTGCCTTTTTAATTTGGTCAAGGGCGACCAGCTGCTCCCCATCCCCTCTGGTTGGCTTCCCACCTTAAAGTAATATTTCAAAATTATTATGAAAGGGGGGTAAAATTAAGGTGGTGAAAACAAGAGATTTTTTATATACACATCACATTTTCTTGAGGTGCAAGGAAATACAAAAATGGCAAGTAAAAAAGCGATGGTATGCCCGCACACAAACATAATTTATTCCACAGAATATGACTGACTTGTTTTTTTCAAGGACAGAAGAGATTAGGAACATGTTGTTTAGTACCATTCAGGTTGCTTTTCAGCAAAGTCTCCAAATCAAAGGTGCCCAGCAGCAGATTCGGCACCATGGCAGTGGCGGCAAGGCGGGCTGCTTTCCACGCTTCTGCCTGGCAAAACACCCCAGAGCCCTTTATAACTTCAATCTGAAAAATAATTTCACATCACAATATTAATTTATTGGCAACTTTTAGAAACTTTTTCATGTTTCATATTGATTCTTATGCTTAGCTTCCCAAAAGTTAATAGGTTATGATGTATAAATGCAGATTAATGATAAAGATATGAACCAAATTAATCATTGCCCTAAACGTTATTAAAGGAGAGAAGGAGGAGGTTGGATGGAGAGTAGGGAAGGAGAAAAGACAGTGGGTGGAGAGGAGCGAAGGGGGGCAGGAGGAAAGGATGATTGTCTCTTATAACACTAATTGGCTCCTACAAAGCACACAGTTTATACCCATCCTTACTACATAATGTTATTCACCTGTGTTTTCGCTGTGGTCTCAGCTGTTGCTGCAGTCTTGTTAGAGAAGAAAAACATTGTTAAACTCAATTGTAAAACTTCAACAATTGTATGCATATGGGGCAAGTAAATTACATATTACCACTAACTATCCCAACATAAAAATCCCTATAGCTCAGTTGGAGCCTTAAGTAAAATAAGTACAGAAAAATCTGAGGTATATAAGGGTTACACACACCTGTGGTGTCTCTCGAAAGCACTGTCACCATGGGACTCTCTTTAAAGGGCTCGGTCTCCTCTCTGGAGTCTTAGAGAAGAAAGAAACTTAGTAAAACTCTACAACAATTTTTATTCATCCAAGCAAGCCACTATAGATTCTTATTTACAGGGGGGGCTTGGAAAACATTAAACATGTCAATAAATTCATAGCCAAAAATAAAAAAAATCAATAAAAAAAAATCAGCCAAACATCATAAAAATCCATATAGCTCTGTTTGAGTAACAAGTAAACTAAATAAATAAATACAAATGCAAGAGGGTTACTCACCGGTTGCACTTCTCCAAAAGTCGAGGAGACATCTAGATCAGGGGTCTCAAACTCGCGGCCCGCGGGCCGCAGATATTTTGTGGCCCCCTACTTGACATTAAAGTGTAATGTTAGTGCGGCCCGTCGTTGCGTGTGCCGCGTTTTAAATGGGCTACCATACGGTGGGTTTGTTGTCAATAGTTGCCATAGACAACCGCTAAATACTGCGCGCCTGGAAAAAATGAGCGCATCGCTTCAATTATGAGCGCGCTTGCCGCGCACGCGCACCTACATTTGAAATAACGAACTTGAGCTCGCAAAATATGTGAGCGCGATATGTGAACTGCCCCTTGTCGAGCTACCACCAACCAGGCCGCGAGCTACCACGTGTTGGAGAGAGACCCTGCTTTAAAACAATGTGAGAATAATCATTTTGAGCTTGTAATATGTGTCTAACAGGTTGATAAGAAGGTTTGCTTTGATTTGTGCAGTCAGTAATTTGCCTGAGACACTATACATGTGTAGAAAGAATTCAATAAGACGGGCAGACATGACTGCAAATATTTGTATTTCAAAAGCAATAATTGTTTTTCTAAGTATATAATAAAAGGAAATGTGCCTTCCAAAAAAAACATTCAATATCATTAATGTGTTGTATAAAGAAAATAAAAAGGACATAAGCAAATATAAATATTACAAATATGTGTTATAGACAAAGAAAGTTTGTAAAATGAACTTCAACTGTCAGAAGGACAGCTCATGAAGAACCAATCATGTACAGAAAGGAATGTTCAAATTCAGAGGAACAGTTCAGAAGAAACGTTACTAATAAAGATTGAGAAGATTGGATCAGTTGTGCTCCTTTTTTGGAATACTTGAATACTATTTTTTGTGGAATACTTGATGCGGCCCATCCTGACCCAGACTCTACCTCCAGTGGCCCCCAGTTAAGTTGAGTTTGAGACCCCTGATCTAGATCCTCCACAGGACTCCTTCCAGTCTTGTTCATAGAACAAAAATATAGTCATTCTCTTCAATAAATTAAAGTGCAAATACATCAAATAATTAACACTATCAATCAGCCCAACATCACAAGTCTCTACAGCTCTGCTTGAGAAACAATTTTAAAAAGCAATGCAAATCAGTGGAACTTACCTTTTGAGCAATAATGGCGAGGTCACTTTTCATTTGAGGGATTTCTAGAAAGAAGTTATATAGCCTAAAGAAAAAAACAATTACAATCACTAAAGCAGAATAGCACCCAGCAACTCAGTGCCCTAACGTTAACGTTACTCTTCGAAAGACATTTCCTGCAGCTGTGAACGCAAGCTACAACCCTCCAAAGCCCATTGATAAGGCTCTGCAGAGGAAACCTGGTTGTGAACGCAATTAAAAAAAATGTCTTTCTCCAATTTCTCTCAAATTCAAATTCCCCAGGGTTTTTTTCTGGAGCCGATTGCCTTCTTGAGCCGTTGAAGGCAGAGAAGCATAATTTATTCTCATGAACTGTAACGTTATGTTCTCTAGGCAATTACTTTTGTTAACCCTCTACGAATTACTCCAGAAAGAGACAAATAAATATAATTCTAATTTGAATCTTATCAACGGCTACGTTATATGAGCACCCACACTAACTTACCTCACCAGTTAACAACATAGCATTTATTTGGCCAAACACGTGTTAAACTTTCAGCCCATACAATTTCTAAGTTTATACTTCTCTGCCACCGCAATATCCATCTCCAGAAAAAAAACCCTGCTAATAAATATTAAAATTAGGAATACTTACGATTGATGATAAGTAGGACATAGCGGATCTCCAACGCTGATATCGCCATTTTCACTCCCAGCCGATATCTTTCGGCGCGAATCGTCAAACGTGAGGCTGATGACGTCATCAACTACGCAGCGCTGTAGCCATGGTAGCAGCAGAGTGGATAATTTTTTTTTTTTTTTTTTTTTTTTTTTTTTTTTGCAAAATTACAGAGTTTGATATCAAGTTCTTGACACATTTCTTTTACAGATTTTCACATTTGATAAGTATAAGTTGAAACAACAATAATTTGGAAAAAAAGAAAAGAAAAGAAAAAGAAAAAGAAAAAAGATAAAGGGCATCTCAAACATATATTAAATTCATTTAGCAGAGATACAGATCTTTGGGCTTTTCGATTTTTTAAAAACTTTACAGACTCAAAATGCTTGTCTTCAAATTCATTAACCATAGTGAAATGCTCAGATAGATGGGATGATGATGATGATGATGATGATGAAGATGATTACTTCAATGTATGTTCTGTTCTTTTTTTTTTTTTTTGCATATTTATATAGAAACTGCATTAAGACAATACAGAAAACATTGCATTTTGCATTGCATTTGGTGGAACGGTGAATGTGTGGATGTGTATGAGCTGTAATGTAAATCTGGAAGTGACTTGAAATTGGAAAAAGGGCTTGATTGACAAAATAAAAAAACTAAACCATTTTGTTATTTCCTTCTTTTCCACTATCTTCATACAAGGAAGAATTGACCTTGTAATAGCTTTCCATCTCCTCTCACTTAATTGCCATAGTTAAATTCCATAACATGCCAATTACATGTGATACCAATTTCCCATGTTCGCACATATACAGTTCTTGCATAATTTCTTTTTTTAGTTAGTTCTAGTTATTGCCTTGATAATAGAAAATATGAGCTAGGCATCATGTATGACAGTTGCCAAAGTGAGGTATAATGACCAGATCCTGCCATGAGCTATAGGAGTCATGTATGCACATATAGGGCTTATATGTGGATATAAAGAAGCAATACAGGGGGCTGTTCCATAAACCAAGATTAGAGTATAAGCCAGGCTTATTTCGGTTAGTCAGGCTTATTTTTGGTAGATTCGGTTTCATAAATCAAACTTAAAAAAGTTCAAACTCAGTTACCCTGGCAACTTATGCTGGGAAACTAGCCTGGTCCAGGGCAGGCTAACTGTCAGGCTAAGCCTCAGTTGTTACACAGATCCTCAACACTGACCGACAAGAACACAATGATATTACCACTGACAGTCTCTAATACCATTATTGGACTTTATAAATACACAGTATACAGAAAATCAACTTAAATAAGGCTACAATATAGACAATATAGACACATATATAAGGCGTTTTAAAGTTTAGGACATGTCATTTTTGTAATAAAGACATTTTAATTAAGGAGTGCCTCGGTTATCAGAGAATTCTTTCTCTACGCTGTCTAGATATAAAATGTATATATATATATATATAAAATGTACTTTATTATGTCTTTCAATTCAAACACATTTAACAAAATTATACAAATGGACAGTTCCTTTAAAGACATCATATTTTCCCCCAATAAATATTCCTTATTTTTCCTTCTACTTTTTTTTTCTTTTGTGATAATACCAACATATATATATATATATATATATATATATATATATATATATATATATATATATATATATATAAAACAATAAATAAATATTAATAAAAATATAACATTCACATATATCAAACTCTTATAATGAATGACACATAATTCCCAATAGTTATTCAAGTAATATTATTTAAATATCAAATATTCAATATTAAATAAGTAAAGAAATAACAAATAACTAGAAATAAAAGGGAAGGTTACATAAAAATGTAGTTCATGTAGGCCAATATATATTCCTTTATTTTATGGAATATTCTTTAATTTTAGAGTTGCACATATCTTTTCAAAATGTATACATTTGTTCTTAATTTAATGTTATCCTCTCCATAATGTACTTTAGAAACTAAATCTAAACCACTAAACTTAAAACTGGGGATTCTTGCTTTCTCAAAAAAATTATTGCATAAAAAGCTGTAATTCTCAGCATTCTAAATAAGTAGGCTATATATATCATCTTTATAAAGTAGCATAGGTCCTATACCCAAAACTATATTTTGTATCTTTATATATTTAGTTTCTTTAAAAAAATCTTCCCTGAATTAGGCTACTTCTGTTCAATTTCTTTTTTTTTATTAGAAGTATAAAATATATGAGTGTAATGAGCTAGAAGTTCACTGCAACTTATCCAACATCCTAAAGAGAAATTATTATAATTAGAAGATATTTCTAGTGTTATAAAGTATCGCATATTAATTTTCCAAGCAAAATGTATATTTTAGTCAGAATTATTGCGCTCCTATTTGGCGCGCATGCGCGCAGCAGCGCTCGTTCAATATGAAGATTAGCAGCAAAATGGATACATTTGCACTACTTTCTAACATTTACAGATGGAGAATATAACTGTAAAATGTCATTTTTGCACTGAGGAAAAAAAAAACATGTCACAAACGCATAAAACAGCACAAAATATACGCTGTTTGGTGGTGGATCGATTTGATCCACGATCGACCTCTAGGGCTGCTTCAGAAACGCGTGCACACGCAATTATCTAGACTAGATAAACCTGGATCAAATTAGTGAGATTGCGTGAACTTCAATTACCTTTTATGGAACCACTTTAGCCCCAACTTATTTGTTAGGCTCATTCAAGTCCGGTTTTGGAGTTTAATCCCCGCTTTTCTAAGCTTCATTTATGGAACAGCCCCCTGGAGACCTATATGGCCTGTATATGCACATATATGCACCTCAGTTTTGCCTATATGTGCAATATATACGCATATATATTATCATATATGTGCATATATGCTGTATATATGAAGCATATATGTTCATATAAACTGCATATAGGTTTCATATATGCGCATATATCCTCATATAGGTTCTTTTCATGTGGGGTGTGTGTGTGATATTTTCTATAGTCACTGATTTTTGCTCGTTTTCCCCCTTGTCCCCCAGTGTGTATGTGCACTGGTGTCTGAACACCCTCACTGGAAGTGCTAGGTGGTGTGGAAGCCCTGCAAAATGTATCCACCTCTTTTTGTCTTTTCACCACCATCCTGTGTCTTTTCTGTCTTTTCCTCCATGCCTTTCTGACATGTCTTTGCTCCCTGTCAGATAATTCACTGATACTCTTCAACTTTCCTTCTTCCCCTCGTTTCTTATTTCTTTCTATTTCTTTCCTTAAGTATTCCTCGTACTTCACTGGGTCTTCCCTCAACCTTTATTTGTATTCTCTCTGTCTCTCGGTTGTAGTTTTTCTATTTTTTTTAGGCGAGTTGGTGTTTTATGTCATTCTCCCTGTCAAGTTAATCATAGAAATTAACATTACTGACAACAACCTTACACGTAAGCTAGTATCATGGACTGCAACCTTAAGTAATTGTAACCTCATCACATTACAGAATTTTAACAGAATCTTGCATACTAAAACACTACTAAAACATACTACAGTAGTAATTATTTGCATAACTCTACTAAAATGTAGTTTATTCCTCCAAATAAATGATTATGTGTTCCCTTTTGTCACTACCAAAACAATAATGTCACAACCGAAACTTCAAGACATGTTTCGGTTGTGACTGTTTTGGTAGTGACAATTTTTGATACTTTTGAGCCTAGCTCAAAGATGCTAATCAGCACATGGTTAGCAATCACTGGTCAGAACAGTTGAACACATATAACAACTAAGTTTTATGGAATAACATCCAAAAAAGTTTTCTCAATAGCAGAAAAAATGAGTTTGGTAGAATTCCTTAAAGTTACACACAGATTTTTAGACTTTAGAACACATTTACCTCAAAATGATGGGATCAATCTACTCACCATATAGCACATGAGACAGAGGGACACAGGAATATTTCCTGATCAAAAATGTAGGGGTGTGGTTAAAATCAGTCTCAGCCAATGGACTACAACATTCACTGTTTTGGTTGTGAGATGAAAATGCAGGACACGTTTTTTTAGATAAAGTTTCATGATTAAAAAATAAAAAATAAAATAAATATATATATATATATTTTTTTAAAATATTCATAAAAAAAAAAAACGTTTTTTTTTTTTTTTTTTTAAGAATGGAAAAATGTGCAAAAAAAATTTCAATATAATTTTCACAAGTTGAAATTTAGGGGTTAGGGTTTGGGACAACCACCTCCTAATTGAAAGTAGCCCATAAATGATGATTATATATATATAAAGCTTACTAAATCTTGCACGCTTTGATAGGGATCAAGGATGCTTTGTGCCCCCACTTGCCCTCCCACGACGAAATGTCACCAGTCCTGAGCCTTCATGAAGTGAGACTTTGCCTAGGTAACATCAATCCGAGGAAAGCATCTGGTCCGGATGGAGTACTGGGACGGGTGCTAAAGGACTGTGCATCCGAACTAGCAGAAGTTTTTACCAGCATCTTCAACTTGTCACTGTCCAGGTCATAGGTTCCATTATGTTTTAAAGCAGCAACGATTATTCCTGTCCCTAAACAAGCCAATGTCACATGCCTGAATGACTATAGGCCTGTTGCACTTACATCCATCCCTGCAAAGTGCTTGGAGCGGCTGGTCATGAAACACCTAAAAAAGGCCATACCACCAGCTTTAGACCGGTACCAGTTTGCATATAAGGCAAATAGATCAACGGAGGATGCCATTGCTATGGTGCTTCACCTGCTGTTGGAACATCTAGAGCATAAAAACACCTATGCACGGCTGCTCTTCATTGACTTTAGTTCAGCCTTCAACACAATACGGCCAAATACACTTCTGCTGAAATTGTGTAATCTTGGATTGAACAAGTCACTATGTTACTGGATACTGGATTTTCTAACCAACCGCTCCCAATGTGTGAAAATAGGCGAGCACGTTTCTGACACCATATACATCAACACTGGTGCACCTCAAGGATGCGTGCTCAGTCCCCTGCTTTACACACTCTACACACATGACTGTTCCGCTTTTTTTTCCACTAATCATGTCATTAAATTTGCTGACGACACAACTGTGCTCGGCCTCATTACAGCCAGCAATGAGAAGGCATACAGGGCGGAGATCGATCTGTTAACAGAGTGGTGTAAGAACCATAACCTGTTACTAAACATCAGAAAGACAAAGGAAATCATAGTTGACTTTCGTAAATCAAACAATCTAGTTCACTCATCACTCAACATCAATGGAGAGGCAGTCGAGAGGGTGAAACACTTTAAATTTCTGGGTGTTACTATGTCGGAGGATCTGTCCTGGGGCAGGAGCATCAGTACAGCGGTAGGGAAGGCCCAGCACCGGCTCTTTTACCTGAGGAAGCTGAGAAGAGTGAAACTTCCCCAGAGGCTTATGATAAATTTTTACAACTGTGCAATCCAAAGTGTGCTGACTTATGGGCTGTTGGTGTGGTTTTCTAGCTGCACCACAGCTGAACGACAGCTACTTCAGAAGGTGGTGAAGACTGCAGCGAAAATCATCGGGACTACCCTCCCGGAGATTTCATCTGTGTACACCACCCGCTGTCTGCGTAAAGCACACAACATCATAAGGGACCGGTTCCATCCAGCACACGGCTTGTTCCGCCTGCTGCCGTCGGGCAGGAGGTACAGGTCTCTTCCAGCTAGAACCACTAGAATGGCCAACTGCCTCTACCCTCAGGCAGTTCGACTGCTGAATGAGCACCATTCCGGACTACCTCCTTCCGTTACTTAATTTACACATCTATCATTATTTAACATTACCCAATAACTGCAATAACTGTGAACTGGACTCTGCATTGTTGCAGCACACATAATTATACTTTTTCATTGATTGGTAGCAATCCAGCTTATACGCCCCTTCTCTGTTTATGTGTCACTATGGCCCTATGTGTGGAGTTAGTATGGACTTTATCATTCCAACAATTGAAACTGGACTGTGTAGCTCTATAGGTGATTCGACTTGATATTCCCTTGTCTTGGTAGCTGTCTGTTGCGGTGCCCTGTAAACAAACTGTTTTTATTGGTGATCTTCTGCACTTCATGAAAACCACTGTCGATTGTTGCTCTGATGTAATTTTGTTGAACTTCCAATGACAATAAATACTAATAATAATATTATTGCGGCTTTCAATAAATAATTGAAGGATCTTAGTAAACATCTAAGATTTTAATAATTAAATGCTTTTCAAATGTGTTTTTTGGATGAGGGACAGCAGTTTGCACCAATTCTGTAGAATGGCCCTAACTATATATATATATATATATATATATATATATATATATATATATATATATATATATATATATATATATAAATAAGTAGAAAAAAACTAAATTAAGAAACAGCCACAGGACTGTCAGACAAAATTGTGCGTCTTTCAGGTCTGCAACTTTTACAAACAAGAGGTAAAAGAGCTGCATTTAGAATAGTTAATTAAACTTATGTTGTAACTTAAAAGCACAAATTTGGAAATGGACCTCAAAACAGTGTTGTGGTGTAAAATGCATGTCTGAATGAAAACTTTTTTATTTTTTTTATTGGATTTCAAAACAAACAATCAATGTACAGTCAGAATTGCGGTATATACAAATCAGAGAAAGAGAAAAAAATAAAACAAGACAGCCAGGGGGAGGCTAAACATTACATAAAAAATATCAAAATTCACAAATAGAAATAGTTTTAATTGCTTTCTTATTGTGGGAATGAAAGATAGTCTTGATATATAATTGCATTTCTTTTTCAAGAACCAAAAACAAAGGTTGGGTTTATTGTACTTACATTTATGTATATAGAATTTAGCAAAGATTAAAATTAAATTTAGAATATAGTACTCTTTCCTTTTATTTGAGGGAATATTATTAAGTCTGAATGAGAACTGGCTCAAGCTGTGGTGGTCAGAGAGCGTCACAGCATTTGAGTAGGGCTTGGCTTGGCTGGCACGTCCAGGGTGCTCTCGCGCCCGCAGTGCGATGGCATGTTACCAGAGCTTTGCTCCTCAGCAGGAAGTGGAATCCCCTGGTCACGGATCTGCTGCATGCACTGCCTACAATGAAAGATCAGTCAGTCAAAAACAGCCTTTTACATTAACGTTTTTTTTAGTACAATAATCTGTAACACTACAAGGTGCATTAGTTTACATTAGTTAATATATGAACTAACAATGAGCAATACATTTGTTACAGTATTTATTAATCTTTGTTAATGTTAGTTAATAAAAATCCAGCTGTTCATTTTTTATGTTAGGTCATGGTGCAATAACGTCCCGGGTTACGTATGTAACCCTAGTTCCCCGAAGGGAACGGATGCTGCGTGAAATCGCAGTGGGAACGCCCCCCAGCGTAACGCGTCTGAAGCATGAATGAAATCAGTCAATGGATAGATGGAGAGATGGAGCGTCACAGCAAGTGACGTCATCGACCAGGAAGCTATAAATATCCCCTGAATACACAAGCCGCCAGCTTCTAATGTTACTGAAGCAAGCGATCCAGGGGATGCAGAAAGTATGGCAGGACACGCAGCGTCCATTCCCTTCGGGGAACTAGGGTTACATACGTTCCCCTTTAAGAACTACCGCTGCGTGAAATCGCAGTGGGAACGCAATACCCACGTCCCCATACGAACAAAACCCCGTAGTGTGTGCACAAACTGACGATAGAACCTGAGCTCCGGGAGTGGAGCCAAAGGCAAGACTATAAAACCTGACGAAAGTATGCGGTGAGGACCAGCCTGCCGCATCACAAACGTCCTGAAGAGCAACTCCAAAAAGAAGAGCCTTAGAGGCAGCCATACTCCTAGTGGAGTGGGCCTGTACAACCAAAGGGGAAGGCTGACCGGCCGACTCGTAAGCAAGTGTGATAGCCTCGACCACCCACTTGCTCATTCTCTGCTTAGAAGCGGGCCCCCCCCTGTTGGGAGACCCAAAGCAAACAAACAGCTGTTCAGACTTCCTCCACAGGGCAGCTCTGTGGACATAAGCGTCTAGGGCATGGGTCGGCAACCCGCGGCTCTAGAGCCACATGCGGCTCTTAAGCGCCGCCCTAGTGGCTCCCTGGAGCTTTTTCAAAAATTTGAAAATGGAAAAAATATTTTTTGTTTTAATATAATTTCTGTAGGATAAAAAACATGACAAACTTTCTGAAAGTTTTTCAACGTTGTAAAAATTTTATAATAAATATTTAATTTCAACATTTCTGTCAACGAAGAATTTACGTCATAGACTGTGACACACGTGTCTGTCAGATCGGCGTGATGCCAGACCGGTGGCTGACAAACAAACCGGCGGGTGTGTCATGGGCCATGGATCCCAAGGGGAAAAAGAGAAAGATAGCTGAGCACTACCAACGCAATAGAGTGCGGCGCGGGACTAGATTTGATGGCCGAGTGCGAGCGCGGGCGCGTGCGGTAATGCACTCACTCTACTAAAACAAAATAGAAACGATTTACAGGCCAGAATTTCTATTCATAACATGTTTGCAGCGTTGAGCGATATAGCCAATCACAGACATATGTGTTGATTTCTTGAACGCAATGGCCAATCAGAAGCATTTAAGATAGACTCCCCTCACCGCTCAAAACTGACTTTTTGTTCAGTGCTGAATTCTGTATGCTGGCAAATCCTCTAATTATAACGAACAACGTGTGGATATTATGAAAGATTCATTGTGCAGTCAGCCTTATTGATAATAACAGAGATGTGTGAGATCGCGATGAACTGTCAGCTTTTTAGGAATTATTAAGAGAGCGCACTTTGCGCGCATTCAGTCATCCCAAACCATGCACGCATAGTAAACTGCTTGCTTTTATGTTAAATTAACAGTGGTTTGTGTTTTAATGCTTTAATAACAAATAATTTATCAGGAGGATGTATGGTGGCGACACGTAGGCTAACTTGAAAGTATTTGGAGGTACAGAAAAAAGTCTATTTGCGGGCGGGAGCGGGACAAAACATAAATGTTGCGGGTGCGGGAGAAAGAAAGTTGAGAACGTTAGTTATAACGACCCACGCATAAAAATGGTCGGGTTAAAATCGGGCTCGGGCTCATAATTACGTTTAATGTGTCGGGCCGGGCCGGGCTTGATTTTTTGGGCCCGATCTAAGCTCTAATTTGTAGCCTACTTATCATTTTGATACTAGAGGGCTAATATAACACTTACAGCATGTGTTGCCTTCATTATAAGGCTTATATAAAGCTTTTAATTTTTTGCGGCTCCAGACAGATTATTTTTTTTTTTGGTCCAATATGGCTCTTTCAACATTTTGGGTTGCCGACCCCTGGTCTAGGGTCCTAACTGGGCACAGCAGAATAAGCTTCTCTTGGTCTGACGTCAGAAATGGAGGAGGACAAAAGGCCTGCAGTATGACTGGTCTAACCGTAGTTGTTGGAACTTTGGGAACATAGCCTGGCCTAGGGTAGAGGAACACCTTAGCCATACCAGGCGAGAATTACAGGCACGAGGGAGCCACTGACAATGCCTGAATATCTCCTATCCTTTTGAGAGATGAGATAGCAAGCAAGAAACTAGTTTTTAAAGTGAGGAACTTTTCAGAAACTTCTTAAAGGGGTTCAAAGGGAGCCAGGGAAACGCCTTCTAGAACAACGGCCAAATCGTGGTACCCTCGTGCGTACTTCCGGCCTCAGCCTCAAGGTGCCACGGAGGAAACGAGATACAAGTGGGTGTCTTCCGAGAGAGCCTCCACTCGAAGGGGCGTGGTAAGTGGCTAGGGCTGCCACGTACACCTTCAGTGTGGAGTGGGATAACCCTGTAGAGAGACGGTCCTGCAGGAACTCCAGCACTGTACCGACCGGGCAGTTCACAGGGTCCTGCTTGCGCTCACTACAAAAGTTTAAACGAAAAGTGAAAAGTTTCCACCTCGCGGCATAAAGCCTCCTTGTGGTGGGAGCTCTGGACTGGAGGATGGTCTAAACGACCTCAGTCGAGAGACCAAGATCTACGAGCTGGGCCCCCTCAGAGGCCAAGCCCACAGTCTCCACAGTTCTGGGCGAGGGTGGAAGATGGACACGCTCGCTTGAGATAGTAGGTCCCTCCTGACCGGTATTTCCAGGGGAGAGCCGTCGAGGAGGGACACAAGGTCCGAGAACCATACTCGGGCCGGCCAGAACGGGGCTATCAGGAGTAGCTTGACTCCGTCCCGGCGGACCCTCTCCAGAACTCCTGGGAGCAGAGCAATCGGGGGAAAAGCGTACAGGCGAGACCTCGGCCACGCCTGTACCATGGCGTCCAACCCCAGCGGGGCAGGATGGCTGAGAGAGAACCACAGTGGACAGTGTGATGTCTCTCGGGAAGCAAAGAGCTCTACCTCGGCACGACCAAAGTGCTCCCAGAGGAGCTCCACCACCTCGGGGTGAAGTCTCCATTCCCCGGGCCTCGGCCCCTGCCTCGACAGGATGTCCGCCCCCTGATTTAGATACCCCGGGAGATAAATCGCTCTCAGAGACAGAAGTTTCCCCTGGGACCATAGAAGGATCTGACTCTATACAGTAATGCAAAAGAACCAAAAATGAATGACACTAAATAATTTCTTAACAATTTATTTTTACCCAGTCTGAGCACAACACAAAGAGAATCATTAGAAGAATCTATATCAGAAACTGAATATAAACAAGCTCTTGATTCTCTATCAAACAATAAAGCTCCAGGTTTAGATGGATACCCACCAGAATATTACAAACATTTTTGGTCAACTATATCACCATTATTTTTGCAAATGACGGCAGAAATCAAAAACACTTCTTCTATTCCACCTCACATGAACACAGCACTAATTTCAGTCCTGCTTAAACCAAACAAAGACCCAACGTTATGCACTAGTTATCGCCCATTATCTCTTCTAAATACGGACTTAAAAATTATAAGTAAAGCCTTGGCTACACGTCTTGAAACCGTAATTTCATCTCTTATCCATCCAGACCAAACAGGCTTCATCAAAGGACGCCAGTCATCAAACAATACCAGACGATTATTCAACATTATGAACCTATGTAATCAAAACAAAAAAAAGACTATAATCATATCACTAGACACAGAAAAAGCGTTTGATAAAGTTAGTTGGCACTTTCTGTATATGACACTCAAAAAATTAGGGTTCGGAGACTGTTTTATTCACTGGATTAAAACACTATATAATACTCCACTAGCATCTGTTATAACGAATGGCATAATATCATCACCATTCCAACTTCAGCGAGGTACTCGCCAAGGATGCCCCTTATCACCATTACTATTCGCCTTGTTTATAGAACCGCTTGCTGCTGCAATAAGACAGAATGATAAAATTTTGGGAGTTCTATCAAACAACACTGATCATAAAATTTCATTATACGCAGACGACATACTTCTATTTGTACAAAATCCTAAAACTTCTCTTACAGAAATAATGAAACTCATCAATGAATATTCTATTATATCAGACTACTCCATAAACTGGACTAAATCAACAATTTTGCCACTGAACATGAAACCACAGGACCGAAGCATACAAAACATACCGTTCAAAATTAATAATATTACATACTTAGGAATAAACATATCACAGAACCTCTCTGACTTGTTTAGCCTCAATTTTAATCCACTGCTGAAAACAATAGAAGATGATTTAACTCGATGGATGAATCTACCGCTTTCCATTATAGGTCGTATTGCAACAGTTAAAATGTGTATTTTACCAAAACTCCTATATCTATTCACCATGACTCCGGTACAACCAACTAAGAAATGGTTTACATCATTAAATCAAATAATCAGCAAATTTTATTGGAAAAAAAAGAATCCTAAAATTAGTTTATAAACACTTCAAAAAAATAAATCTCTAGCAGCACCAAATTTCCACTACTATTACTTAGCGTCCCATCTACAATACTTTTGCAACTGGATCAAATGTGAAAACCCCCAAAACCCATGGTCCTTCGAGCCGGAGCCTGAGTGAGGGTTACCATGGCAGGCATTGGTATGGATGAAAAAGATGAAAGAGAGTTGGAGTTGGAGAGGGCTCTCCCAGTCACAACCCGTAGCACCTTATCCAGG